AATAGATCAAAAGTTATTAATTTTTAAAGATTTTATTATTTTTTATTAATAAAATTTTTAATAATTTTAATTTTTCTTTAATTGCAGGTCCTCTCTAAATGCAGGTCAAAGTACTGGTCCTGACAATATGCACTTAGAGGGAGTCAACTGTATATAAAAGCAAAGCAAATGTAATAGTAGTGATAAGTAGTTTGAATTAGTATTAGTTTTGCTCTTAATTAATAAACTTCATTTGAGTAATAATAGAATACTTGCCTTAATATAAACTGAAAATTGATCATTGCAAAGTGACCGAGTACTTACTGTTTGGACTAGGTTATTCTGCAACAAAAGTCATAGATTAACCTGTGACAACATTAAATAGCTAGCAAATTAATATAGTCAATTAAGCCAATTTCGATATACAGTTAATTCCCATCCAATTAGGAATATAAACAAGTCATTTGTTCTTGCTTTGTTATATTATAAATTCAAATATTAATTTTTTTCTAAACTAGGTTAAGTGAATAATTGCTGTTAGCAGTTGTTTTTTTCACAACAATTACTAGTATGTAAAAATGATCTTGCTTTGATATATTATGAATTCAAACTAAAACGGGTTAAGTGTTATAGGTGATCAGCAATTGTTTTTTTTATAACAATTACTAGTATGTAAAACATTCTCAATTTAGGGTTTGTAATAAAATAATTATCTGAAAAATCATTTAAATTGATACTGTAGCAAACATTTGAATCTGTGAAAATAAATAAACTATAGAGAGGTGATGAATCAATGATTAATAGAAATGGGTAATTCTTTGGGTATTGTTGGCCACTACTTGCAGTATTCCCAAAATAATATCTATGATTAAGATTTGGGTATTACTCACTATCTTTATCAACTATTTCTCAGGAATATAACTATGCATATTAATTTATTAATTTAAAATAATATATCCTCCAAATACAATACCTGGCTCTTTACACAATACCCACTTAAACTTGATTATAAACCAACTTTAATCTAATATATGCAAAAAAATTTAATTATTAATTTCTTGTATTGATATTAGTAGAATTAAAATAAAATTTGAATTCAATTATTGTGTTATCTTTGTTAAAGCTTAAAATTAAACTATTAGATTTTAATAATATTCAAATACTTTATAAAAAAGTTTGTAATTTATGCAGATCATGTATCAACTGATTTAAATCAAACCAAATTATCTCTATTCTTTTTAGTACAGATTTCTTCTCTAAATTAATAACTAACTATAATTATTTCATTATTATTTATGATTAAAATATAATATAGCTTGCTTTACTGTTAATTACAAATACAATAAACTACATTGTAGATCTGCAGCTTGTGTGTTTCAAATTGCATTTGCATTAATTGTTAATGTTTTTGCATTAGTAAAAATATAGGGCAATTTAGGAGTTTTAGAACAATTTTTTTTATTTTAAATAATCAAACCACTTTTAATATACAGTAATGTGTTTAAAAAACTTGTTGGTATGCAGTAAATCTTATTTTCTTGTGCAGCACAATGATGTTTGAATATGATATGAGTTAGAGTTATTAACTATCTAACTACTATTATCTGCATTATTCATGCCATCTTTATTGTCTGCACAATGCCCATGTTCCTTTGCTTGCAATTCCTTGATGTATACAATAGAAAATAGAAAGGCCTAGTATGCAGAAAAATTTATCTGCACATGTAATGATCAATGCATTTTTATTGTTTATTTTATAATAAGCACAAAAGTTAGCTTGTTATGTAATTTTTGAGAATAACCAAATTTAAATATATCATTAGTTAATTATCATATTTGCAGTTCTTCTACATTATGCAATAAAATAGATTCTTTAATTTTTGTGTTATAACCTCCGTATAATATATACTACTTTTGTTTTTAACAAATGATTTATTTTACCAATTATTTGTCTTGCATTACTTATGGCTTTGTCAAATAATTGTGATTATACTTGACAAAAATTAAACTCATTAATCTATATAATTATCTATGTCAAGTGATCTTTATTGTATATGTATGTATATGTCTTCTTTTAGCCTGTTTGCATATTAGTACATTGGGCATGAACTTTAGTAAAATTTCCAGCACACAATTATCTTAAACAGTTGGTAATATGTATTTAGAAGTTTTTAATAATATTCTCTCCATCTCTGATACACTCAATGCACTAATACAGTTCAATAATATTATAAGTAAAAAAAGACTTTGCTTCTAAAAGGTATAAATATAAAGCACAAATAGCAGTAATTTTATTTTGTATAACAAAATAGATTGCATTTACGATGATTTAGAATCTGAAAATCAACAAAACAAATCGATGTCTTCTGATGAGCGAACATTCAGTAATGAACCATTAGAAACAGTCTTATCTAGTGATTTCACTTCATTATCCAATGTGTCAAATAGAAACGAAAGGCCTGTCTGAAAACATTTTTATAAAAAACCTTTATTTACACCAGATTATAATATTTGTAAATACTACCACTCTATGAAAAAATACAAATTAACAACTGGTATATCAACTTTGCACAGTCATCTTTTTATAAAACATAACTTGAAAGTCTCTACAAAACAATATAATCAACAAATTACAAATAATCTCTTTAATTTACAGATTTAGAAAGAACATACAAAATACCTTTTAGAGTGGATTATATGTGATCTCCAACCATTTACAGTCGTTGACAATGATTATTTTCAATCATTTATCAAGCATTTTTGTCTATAGTATATAATTCCTGAAGGGCATCAAGTGAAAAATCTGGTTGTTAATTAATATAATACCCAGCAACCAAAAATTGCAAATAAACTTAACAGTATTTATAGAAAATGTTCATTAATAGCTGATATTTGGTCTTCAACTGTTAATCAAGAGGCTTTCCTCGGGCTCACTATACACTATATTGATTTTAATTAGCAACTATGAAATTTTTTGCTCGATATAATTTTATTCAATATTAGTTATTTACGAGTAAATATCATACAAACCATTTTAAACACTTTAGATGAATTTTATATCTGGAATAAAATTATCGCACTTACTACAGACAATGCATCAGCAATGTTGGTGTGTGGAAGGGAGATTGCTAAAAGTCTTGATTCCACACTTTTTTCTATAACCTTTTCGCATTACCGTTGTGTGGCCCATATTCTAAACTTATATGCAAAGCAAGACTTAAGTTTAATTAGTGATCTAATTAATACAGTTAGAACACTAATGATCAAAATAAAAACTTTCTATTCCTTAATTATGAGCTCTATCATTTTTGCAACTCAAAAAAGATTTCAAATCTTAAACCCATTATAGATACCAAGACATATTAGAATTTAACATTCTACATGTTAAAATGTCTGTATCAACATAAGTCTGCCTTAGCTTTACTTGTGGCTGATAACCAAAATATCAAAGACCTTTATCCTACTAAAAAAGATTGAGCTGAAATAAATATAAATAAAATTTAAACTCATTAATTATATACTGTATTTCATTTTCTAATTATATACTTTATTATAAATAGAATTCTTTTTCAGTTTTAGAACTATTAGAAAAGGACACTATACACCTTTCTGTGTCATCATACCCAACTCTAGGTAACACTTGATTTGTCATTGAAGGAATTCAAATATGTCTAAAAAGGTTTATTAGAAAAAGTAATTTTACTCAACATGAATTAGCCAAATCAATATTGCAAAAACTCTCTAAATACTATGATATAATGAATCAATTCTCAATAACCTTAGCTATCCTAGACCCTTGTATTAAGCTTTCAATTTTTTTAGCTTAATTGACACAAAATGCACATAATCAAGTTAAAATAGTTTTTAATAAATATTTAAAAAATACTCTTAATATAACTATATTATCTACCAATAAGCTGAATTCCAATACCAGCAATGCTCGATAGTTCTTTTCACAATTTCAGTACCATAAAACAGTATCTAATAATAAATTTACTAGTTCAACTGCTTTACTATTATTGGAATTAAATCAATATCTTGTATTATATGAAGATGAAGAAGCAAACTCTTTGTTTTGGTGGCAAATATATATTAAAAAATATCTAGTTTTAAGTAAGATGGCCTGGGATTATCTCTTGATTCAAGCAACTTCTGTTGTATCTGAACAGATTTTTTTCATCACTAGTAATACAATTACTAAAACAAAAAATCAGCTATCGTCTGAAACTGCAAGAGCAACACTTTGCATAAAAAGTTGGATTATCAATAATATAAGAAAATAGAATTTGTATATAACTTTACATACTTTGATCATATACGTCAATAAGTATTCATTATTTTGTATATGGTTAGAGGAAAAATAACTATATAGTTAAATATATAGAATTAGATTAATATATAGATAGGTTTAATATCATAGATATAAAAATATTAGAAATATATTAATATTATAGATGGGTTTAATGGTTTAATATATAATACATATCATAGATGAGTTTAATACATATAAAAATAGAATAGAAATATATTACTATTATGGGTTGAATAAACAAAGATTAGACATGTACAATGACTTTTTGTAAGATCACAGTATAAGAACTTGCATGAACTAGAGTACAAAATCTACTATAAAATACCAGAGAATTTAGTAAATTAAAAAAATTCTGGCATAATTTTTTGATAGTTGAAAATTTTTTGTTGTTTAAGAATTTTGACACTTTCTTATATTATAACTAATTACTACTATCATCACTACCTCTGGTTATAGATCTTAAATTTTATTTAATAAAAAGATTGCCAAAAAAATATCAGGAGACGTTATGCCACAATTTTGTGCTCTGGCATGAACCTTAATATATAAAATTACTGACTTATTGTTATATTTTGATCAAATATATGTGTTAGTTTGTACAAAATTTTCAATTATAAATGCTTGTACTGGTACTGTAGTTTATCCCTTAAATTGTAACACAGGCAAATTTGCCTGCAAAGATTTTTACTAATTTTTTTAATATTTAAATTTTT